TGGCAGTCTGCTTCCGTAAAGATGACACCCTTGGAAACCCTATGGGACTGTTCTACTCTGTCCTGTAGGGTCATTATGAGTTGGAATCAACTCGATGGCAATGGATTTGGTTTGGTTTTGGTTGGTGGCACAGTGGTTAAGTGCTTGGCTACTGTCCGAAAGGTTGGTAGTTTGCACTCACCCAGAGGCTCTTTAGGGCAAGATCTGGTGATCTGTTCCGGTAGATTACAGCCTAGAAAACCTTAACGGGCAGTTCTACTCTGTCACATGGGTTCTCTGTGACTCAAAATGAACTCGATGGCACACCACGTTGTTGAGTGTGGGCTTTTACAGGGATTTGAACCTGGATTCCACCCCAGTGACATTGTGTCCCAGCATGGTTGAGATGGCCTTGGCCTCATCAGCCTGGTGCTCTAGGCAGTTGGCCTAACTGTGAGCACGTGTTTGCATATATACGTGTGTACACAGAATGTTGGATACCAATAATTCTAAGAACTGTCTCTTTCTTCCTTACTCATAATGCTCCGCTTGATTGGGTCCAGTGGTCCCTAATTTGCATCTCCTCAAATTTTCATCCATTTCCTCCCAAGCACATATGCAAACAGCGTCTACCTCAGCATTGCCCTGGTCGGCTTCCCATGGTGCCTGGGACACAATGTGTGTTTTTGGTTCATTTTCTCCTTCTATCTGGATTGCACTTTTCCTTTCTTGGCCTGACACTCCCATCTGTCCTTGGAAAGCAAATGTCACCAGTTTTTTATTAAAGTCTTCCCCAGTTCCCTCAGGCTGAGTTTCGGTCATCCTTCTTTTGGGTTTTTCATACCTATGTTGTTGCCTCACATCCTACATGGTAGTCTGTTTACCTGTCTGGAAGACCAGCTACATAATTTGCAGGCCTTGTGTAAAATGAAAATGCAAGGCCCCTAGTTAAAAAAAAAGTTATTAAGAATTTTTAAAAGGAAGACCTGTGGTTAGGGGACACAACTTCTGTTAAGGGTGATGGAAAAATGCGGGAACGGATAAGGGTGATCGTCGGTCAATATGATGAACATAATCAATGCCACACCAATTTGATACGGTGTACACATTTATCATCAAACTGTTTGTCATTAACACTGGTATTAATATTGGATTTACAGAAGAAACTGTGGTACAAGGAAAGTAAGGCTCCAACGGCTTCCGGGCAGCAGCAGGTCAGCTGCCCTGCACAGGCAGGCATGAGGCGCGCCCCCGGCAGAGGAAGTGGCCCACCTGACTGCCCACAGTGGACGAGGGGCAACGGCAACCTACAATGCTGTGTCTCTCACCTGTGATATCTAGAAACACCTTGGAAAGGGGGCTCTGGACTATTGACTTTTTCTTATATCTAATTTAAAACCCCAGTGCTTGACAGGTCCCTTTCAGATGTTCAACACCAGGGAGAAAGAAACCCATGCGTACATTTCCAGGATACTTTGGGAACAGACCCAATCATTGCTACACAAATAGACACTAGGTGGGGGCTGGTCAAATAGGACAATGTTTCCCGTGGTGTGTTTTCAATAGATATCGTATACTGTCATTTCAGTTTGGAAGTTTATTTTTTCCACTGATTTTTATATATCCAGAATAACACAAATAACACACAATTTCGTTTTGTTTTTGTTTTTTTTTGCACATTCATTTCCCCAGAACAAAAAGTGAACAGTTTTTTTTTTTTTTAATTGGAACCATGCTATTAGCTGTTTACAAAAGTGAATAAAAAGTAGCTCGTTTTTAAGTCTAAAATAAACAAAGTAGAAAGAAGCAGGTTTTTTCCTACGGTATTTAGCAAACATAAGAAAAAGTCTTTAGAAACACAAAAAAATGAAAAAAGTTGTTACAGGCATTAACAATATTTTATAGTGAAGCGTAAAATCTATTTACATACATAAATACAATTAACTCTGTTGATGCAACTCTTCTGGAAGGAAAAAAAAAAGCCAAATGATCAGCCTCATCAATACTGACCTGGCTAAAGGGAGAGGAAAAATCCCAAACGAACGAACCAACAAAAAGCCGAAACAATTGTATATTGTAGGTAAACAAAAAGGCATTTTGTTCAGATCTTAAAAAATGTTTTGAGATTACTGCTAAACCAATTGTTCATGTATAAGACTCCAAACATAAGTCACCCCCCCAAAGAAAAACCCCCAAAACCAAAAACCACCAGGACAGAATGTCCTAAGGAAACAGTTATTTCAAGACAGAAATCTGCAATCCTGAATTGCAGGACATTGGCGAGAAACCATTCATTTCCTTTCTAATCAGAGTATTTCTGTTTATCCGCACAGAAACCCTAGGCAGCAGAAAGGCTATTTACTCGCTGATCGTAATTTGCCCGGGAAGTTTCTGTTGCTGCACTTGGACAGCACGCAGATCCGAAATGGTCGGCAAAGTCACTGTTGTGCTGGAAGAAACCCATAAATAGGAAAACGGCTGACTCACCATGTCCCCTTCTGTGAAAGGAGTGCAACTGATGCTCCTTGTGTTCTGGACATTTGGATTGGTTGTGGGAGCTCCCTACAGAAAGCAGAATGGAGAGGAAAGGCGGGGTTTAGGAGAGGGAAGGAGGGACAGATTCTTAGGGAGAAAAATAGAAAAGAACTGAAAGATGTGTCCGTGCTGAATTCATAAGCAAAAGTATGAATAAGCTGTAGAAGTGGCTTACTCAATCTCTTCTGGACAAATGCTGCCGGATACATCTAGTTTTTACATTAATGGCTTGAGGATCTCACTGATAAATAGGACACCCTAAAATACCTGAAGGCAATCAATGCAATTTCTCAAGGGGGGAAGAAAATGCATGCGATCCAAAACAACTAATTTTTGATTTTTTTTTTTCCCTGGAACCATTAAATACTGTTGATGCTGATAACTGTCTGTGAAGCTCCGAATGGCCAAGCCAGACGGTTTACAAAACAGCGACACGCCCTCCCATCCACAGCAAGCCCTCCCATCCACAGCAAGCCCTTCCATCCACAGCTTTCTGCGTGAAGGGTCAATGTGAGGGATCATTTGATTACCTTTGTAGGGCATCAGGCTGGTTCTGAGTTGAAGTATCCTCAGGTATCAGAATTGAACTGGAAACTATTTTTTTTTCCTTCATTTTCTCAGGTCAGCTGTGGCAATACGTGCTGAAAATTCTAAGTTCAATTTGGAGGAAATGTGCTAGTGGTCCTTTTTATACACAAGTTTTAAATTTTCTGACAATTGAGAATAATTTTGCTGCGAAAATGTAATATAGGATAAAACATGAAATTGAGCTGTGGAGGGCGAGTTATGTCTAAAATGAAAATGAGTATGTTCTGCATTCTCCGAGAGCTCTTTTAGCTCTTTTCTAGGTAAGAATGACCTGACTGACCACACAAGCTGCTTTACTTTTTAACTCTTTCACCAAAGTGCTACTGCATCTGTGTAAAACAAAGTCTATATATATATATATAAAACTCAAAAACAAGTTGTTTTAAATAAGTCCAGCTGTTTTGCTGCCTGCAGCCAAAGACCTTTCTAATTTGAATCCTTAAATTTATAAAATAAAAATCAAACACTGTTCTGAAGTCCTGCTTTCAATACTCTTCAGAGTTGTCCTCAAATTGCTTCAACTAATTTAAGAGGTACATTAAATAACAACCAGATCATTTTGAGCACGCTCGTCAAAATCAGCAGTATTTATGAGACATACAACTGCATTCTGACCAAATCCTCCAATAAAAATAGTGCCATAAAATTTACAGTGACATCGGATACATTTGAATCGTAGCTCTGGGGAGCAGTGACATGAATCATTCCCGTCATGCAGTGCACAGGTGTAAATGCACACTCCCCACAGGGTAGGGTCTCAGCTTGGGTGGAAGCAAGGCAAAGATGGGTGGTGCTCTGCCAAGTGGCTCCATCAAGGCACACAAGAGGAAAATTGCTAGACTGCTTCTGCATCACCCTCTAAAAACTTAGCTGGGGACCTTTCCTCAAAGGCACCTGGTCTAGTCCCTTGATGGACAGTCAAAAGTTTTGCTCTGCACCAACGGGTAAGTGCTGTATCAAACAAGGGTATTTTCTTGAGATTATAATAATCTGAACCCTGGGTTTAGATGACCTACTTCTTACCCTAAAACTAAACAGTAAAGGCACCCCTAAATTAATTCATTTGGTTCCCATGTAGATACTCCTACTTAGGATGTGTTCAGTCACAAAGCATGTCTAAATTATTAGGAGGCCAGGGTGAACAAACTCCTAAGCAGAAAATAAATCTTCTCCAAAGGGGCACCGACCACAATCACTGGCACCTACCTGAATTCTCTAGGACTAGATTTGACCTCTGTTTTCAGACAAGGAGTCAGTTATAAGACCCTTTGTTGAGCTTGGCAGAAAATTCCATGATTCTGATCCTTAGAGTGACCCTTAGTTTCTAAAAAGCCCTATTAAAACCACTGCTGCATTAGCTACCAACTGGTTTAACATGAAAAGGAGTTTAATGTAAACAATAATTCTAGATAACCAAGTGATCACATTACCCATCCTTTTTTTTTTTTCCAGCCAACTTCATGTGATACATTTAACTTTGTCTACTACTCAAACCAAAAAAATGTAGTACTTGATATTTTTTCTTCGTAATAAAAGCACATTTAAATAATAAAAAAGTATCAACACATAAGTAAATGTTTAAACATCAAGATACATAAATATCTAGGAATTCCTTGTGGGAATACAGTAGTTGAAAATGACCCAAAGCTGGAGCTGTTTCTCAAAAAACAACTACACAAAAAGTCCAAAAGAAAAGTTAAATAAAAACTTACAGAAAAGGGAATCAGACTTTTTCAATTGTCAAAGCAAAGAAGCAGCGCAAATTTTTTATACATATATATATAAAAATAAAAACCACCCAAATGCAAATACACATTTTGCAATTCATAAGGTGCGGAGAAGAAAATTCAAATAAGAATTAAGATATCAAATAGGACGAGTTGCACCCACCCCTCCCCCCCAAACACAAATTCCACACTCTTTGGAATAAACAACTTGGTTAAAAAGTTAAAGTCAAGGGTATAAAATCTTTCTTTTATTCACAGCATTACTAAATCATAAGCATTCACAGTTTCCCTATGGGAATCTTCCTGCTTGCCTTACAACGCGTCCGAGCGGTGGTTGAGGTGGACACCCTCAAGTTGTGTCAGGTTGGAAAAATGTGAGATGGGCCAACAGAAATTGCGAATTGCATGGGCTTCGGAAGCGAAAGCGCCTTGGAGGCCCGGACTGGGGGCGACCCCGCAGCGTGCTCACCCCTGGCCGGTGCTGGGCCTATGGAGGCTCCTCCGGACGGAAGCCGGGCTCTGCAGGAGGTTGTTCTTCCCAGGCGCTGTCACGTGGCCAGTGCGCGACCTGGTAACACGGGGACGCATTCCCGGAAGCCCGCGGGCTCCCTGATGACGCAGAAAGCGCGCGCCTCAATATGGCCGCCACACGGCCTCTTCGAGGCGCGCGGTGGGCGCCATGTTGGTGGGCGAGTTGCTGTGGCTGCCCTCGGCCTCCACCCCGTCGTTCTGGTTCGGGAGGCTGGGGTTGAGCAGGGCCGAGCCCGTAGAAGCGTTGGTGCAGGGCGGCAGGATGCGCGGCGGGGAGCGCTCGCCACCCACCATGGAGAACTGGTAGGAGCCGGCTGAAGCGCCGTAGTACAGGTGGTAGGACGGCGAGCCGGCCTGGAACGGGCCGCCCTGCGCCTGTGACGAGCCGGGGTAGGGTGGCGGCAGGTACGTGTGGTAGCGCGTGGCCGAGCCCATGGCTGGCATGCCGATGCCGATGCCCGACGTGACGGGCGTGGGCGAGTAAGTGAAGGCGCCGGGGTAGTGCATGCGCGGGTCCGAGATGGAGGGCAGCGCGGGGAACTGGCGAGGGTCGCCGAAGGCCGTCAGATCCGGTGCGGCTGGGGGGGCGGGGGAAGAGAAATATCGCGTGAGTTGGGAGGCTGGGGAGGCCACGCCCCTCCCGCCCTCGTCGCCCCGGGAAGACTACCCAGAATGCTACAGTCAGGAAGACGGTTGGATGATGTGCGTCCGTCCACCTGTATCTGCGGGGAGTGGTTCGAGGACCCCCGTGGAAAAAAAAACATTACCAACTCATAGTGACCCCCTAGGACAGAGTAGAACTGCCCTATAGGGTTTCCGGGAAGAAGACTGCGGATTCAAACTGCTTTTTGTTCAGCAGCTGAACTCTTACCTACTGCGCCACGAGGGCCCCTTCCAGGACCTCTACGGATACAAAAATCCATGGATGTTCAAGTCCCTTGTGTAAAATGGCATAGTATTTGCATATAACCTACTGCACATCCTTCCCTGTACTTTAAATCATCTCTACCAATTAAAAAAAACATTGCCTTGCAGTCAATTCTGACTCAGTGACCTTACAGGACGTAGTGCAACTGCCTTGTAGGATTTCCGAGGCTGTAATCTTTATGAGGGCAGACTGCTACATCTTTCTTCTATGGAGGGGCTGGTGGGTTCGAACTGTCAACCTTTCGGTTAGCAGCCAAACGCTTCACCACTGTGCCACCAGGGCTCTTTCTGTGTACAGCCCTGGAAACCCAATGGGGCAGTTCTCCCCGTCCTATAGGGGCGTTATGTGTCAAAATCGACTTCAGAAGCAGTACGTTTGGGTTTTGGTTTTGTTAGGGCAGTTGAGAATTGGCGGTTTCCTATGATTCAATCTATTACATGCCATAGCCATGACTAGGTGTGAATATCAGTCAATAGTCTCTCCCTATGTCTACCTCCAGATGAGTTCCACATGTTTAGACCGGATACAGCCTTGATTTCACCTGGTATTCTCTAATATGTGCTTCATTAGTGTGTTCACACGAGTGGATGTGGGACCTTGATTTATCGACTCCATTTTTTGCACGTGTTGTAGGGTTACCAGGAATGGTAACGCTTTGTGTGAAATTCACTTTGGTAGAATTGTGCGCGTATAGTTTCACAAACTGGCTCTGATTCTTCTGCCGTTCAGTGTCTCTCTGCATGTTTCTTAACCACAGGCTGCTCTTGGGAAGTACTAGGGGGCTTGGGTGCCAACAGGGATTCCTTGTGTCCTGTAGATTAGGATTTCTCAACAGTTTCACTATTGACATTTTGGACCAGATAATTCACTGTTGTGGGGGCTGTCTTGTACATTGTAAGATATTTAGCAGCATCCCTGGCTTCTACTCACTAGATCCCAGTAGCGACCCCCGCTCCAGTTGTGACAAAGAAAAATGTCTCCAGACACACAAGGCCGAATGTCCCAGGGGTGGAGGTGGGGTGGGGTGGGGTGGGGTGGGTTGGGGGGGGGCAGAAGCAGCCCCAGGGGAGAAGGACCCCTGTAGATGTACAGATGTACGAGGATGGCGTCCTGCGGTGGTTTCCGCTCCTCAGACCTACTCATTAAATGACCAAGCCAGGGCTGTAGTCATTACATCAGCAAATCCAAAACACAGTGGCAACACACAGCAGAAGCAAGAATGAAATGTTTTAAAAAGTTCCAAGTTCTCAAATCAACATACAAAAGAACTCTGAGCTCAGTATGGTATGTGGCCTGTGTCCTTTTGTGTTCAGGCTGATTGAGAAACTCAGGGGAACCAAAAGCTTGTTCTGAAAGCAGAGCTACCAGGGTGGATTAATCTGTTTTTGGAAGGCATAGGCTGTTGATCAACTTCCTCATATTTCAAGCCTATTATTCCAGCAGTGAGTTTATTCATTTTTTCTCTCTCTCTCTCTCTAATAGTCTTTTATTGCTCTAACGCATTTGAAAAAATGAACTCCTCTGTAAATCTGGGGGGGATGTGATGAGGGGATATATTCCTCATCAGAGGAGTAATTAAAGTTTATAGAAAAAACCGAAGTCTGCAGCAAATCCTCTCCACTAATGAGGAAACCAGGAGTCAGTCTTTCAAACAAACGCTCCTGTTAATCTTTTCAAAGAGAGTCAGACATGTGGGCACTGTAATGGACAGACGCTGTAAATGGACAGCAGTTCAAGGCCTGACCTTCCTCGGCCGCTCTTGAGCTAGTTCTGAAGTCAGGCCACGCCTCATTCCACAGTTTGTCCCTGCCGGCTCCTTGGGGCCATCTGTGAGCAAGCCCTGGGTCACTTGTTTGTGCTTCCACAGAGAGAGTGAACAGGAAGCTTAGTCCATTTTTCCAGTTAGACTTCTACAGTCTAGGGAGAAGCTGAGGTAGAAGGGAAAGCACTGGGCAAACACAGTCAATCTGTTTTCATCTGAGGCAAGACTCCGGACACAAATAAATGACTCTGCCCATTATTCCTCTTGCTTCATTTGCCCCGAGACAAAAAGGTGAATCCACTGGAAAAATGAATGAAAGGTCACCCTGTTTCACAGAGATGTCTGGACATGCTCTGCCCGTCTGTTCCAACTACTGCGTGGTAACGTGGTCATGGCACCGAGTTACTGGCATCTGGAGTGACTCCATGGTTTGTCATGGGCATAAGTACTGAAACGATGTTACAGCCTCAGCTGTTGGGGAGAACAGTTCTTCCACTTGGGGGAAGAATATCTGACAGATCTTAAGTATTGCCCAGGATTTTTTTTCTGTCTGTGTGGTAGCAACTTCATACTGCAGAAGACCATCCATTAGCAAAATGGATGAAAAATAATATTGATATTGCAAAAAAATACCTTTTTTGCACACATTTTGATAACAGAACAATTTAGGCCTTTTAGATATGTTCAGATTCAAATGATCTATCCAAATATTTGTTTTCATTTTGTGTTTGGTCTGACACCCGTCCCCAAGACCCAGCACCCCACTGGCTACAGCTGATCCATCCTCCTGGCTGGCCCTTACTCCACACCATTGAATTGTGTCCTACAAAATATGTGCTGGAATCGTAACCCCTATATCTGGATGCAATCCTGTTTGGGAATAGGGTTTTCTTTGTTAGGTTAATGAGCCCATTATCCGTGTCGGGTGTGTCCCAAACCTAATCACTTTTAAGTAATAAAGAGCAGATTAGGCGTAGAAACCAGCAAGGACAAACCAGGGAAGATGGCCAAGCAACCCGGGAACAGAACCGGAAATACACGGATCTCCCCCCAGAGCCAACGGAGAGGGTTTCCCCTAGATCTGGCACCCTGGACCCGGACTTCTAGCCTCCTAGACCGTGAGAAAATAAATTCCTGTTCTTTAGAGCCGCTCCCCAGTGGTATTTCTGTCCCTGCAGCACTAGGTAACTAAGATGGTGGGCGAGGTGAGGATCCCCGATGCCCGCACGGAGCTTTTTTAGAGTACGAAATGGGGGGATTAGCAGGCTCCAGCGTTTGGGTGGGAAGTGTTTCCCCACCGGTGGGGCTAAATATTTGCCATGACAGCTCAAGTCTTCCTTCTGCAGCCTGACATGCATGACAGCAGCCCCGCTCCAGGGCCCCTCCCACTGCCCTGAAGGATTAAACAGCCCCAGCAGATAATGGCAGCCTGAAAAGGCTCTTTTGCATGACTCAGATGAATGCCTGCTGTCCGTTGCCCAGGTTGGCAGCTAAACATTAATTTTTTTTTAAAGAAAGAAAAGCAAGCCTCCAGATGAGAACTCTTTTCAGACAAGGTGTGGAGTGTGTCTGAAAAGGACCAGGAGGCAGACAAGAGTCCCAGCCCCCTGCAGAAGGAAGCCCAGGTGGGGCTGGGGGCGGGGGGAGAGGGGCAGACACAAAGCCTGGGACGGATTAAAAGGTAAAGCAGACACTGGGTGGTGTCAGGTTCTCAAAGCTGTAGGTCAGTCAGCCACTTTCCTTTCATGTACACTGGCCCCCTCCCCCAGCTTGATGAGGACTCTTTTCAGGGCTCTGCTCCAGGCGTATTTCTCCAAGGAGTTCTGCCTAGCTGACGAGCAATGTCCCTGCTGTTCCCGCCACCACTGAAAGCTCATCTGGAGTTTTCTCTGGTCACCCTCCGACAGCAGAGGATCAAAGTGCATTTTCCCTGTTGGGTGCTGAAATGAGCTGTGGTTTTTATCCATGTCACACTCCCATGCCAAAAAATGTCCTTAAAAAAAAAAAAACACCACAAAACCGCTGTCGTGGAGTTGATTTTGACTCATGGCGAGCCCATGTGCTTCAGAGTACAACTCTACTCCATAGGATTTTCATGGCCGTGACCTTTTGAAAGTAGATCACCAGGTCTTTCTTCCGTGGTGCCACTGGGTGGGTTCAAACCGCCCACCTTCTGGTTAGTAGCCCAGTGCTTAACCATTTGCACCACCTCAAACTAAACCAAACCCATTGCTGTCAAGTGGATTCTGACTCATAGTGATCCTATAGGACAGAGTAGAACTGCCCCATAGGGTTTCCAAGGCTGTAATTGTTACAGAAGCAGACTGCCACCTCTTTCTCCTGTGGAACTGCTGGTGGGTTTGAACTGCCCACCTTTCAGTTCGCAGCCGAGTGCTTATCCATTGCACCCCCGGGCTCCTCTGCACCACCCTGAGCCCCCCAAAATGTCTTTACTCCTTAGGTAATTGAAGTCCACGTTATTCAGAAGCTTACGTGTGACAGGGGACTCGGGAGTGGGCGTGTTAAAAGACCGGGTGTCATGGAGTTTATTCTGACTCATGGCAACCCCGCGCGTGTCGGAGCTGTGCTCATAGGGCTTTCCGGAGGTCAGTTACTAGGGCTTTTTCCTGAGGTGCCTCTGGGTGGACTCGAACTGCCAACCTTTCGGTTAGCAGCTGAGCACATGAACCGTTTGCACCACGCAGGGACTCCGCGGGCACGCTCCTCATTCCTTTAAAAAAAAGTCACCCGTCTGTCTCAACAGTGGTGAGCTGGAGCAGCTGGCCCCTAGGCTCCTGGGACTATAAAGTGCCTGTCTCAGGTGGTGACCAAGGCAAGACATAGGTGATGAACCCCAATGCCCAGACCTACAGCAGGGAAATCTCCAAGGAGACAGCTGTCGTGGTGTCAGACGTAGCCCATAGCCAGGAGGCAGAGTAGAGCCACGGACGAGAGTCCAAGAAAGCTGACAATCGCCTCTGAAATCAAACGCTGTTCCTGAAGTTTCTCGAAACAACAAACTGAACGGCAGTCATCATTCCTCTGCTTTTCCCTCAGCACCTTAGCCCAGCAGGTGCTGTGAAACGTTGGTGTGAACGCCAGAAAAGAACGGGATAACAGCAACTGAGCAGGCTTTCCTGTTTCTGTACGACCCCCAAGAATACTTTAAGGCAGTGATTCTCAACTCACTCGGGGGCAGCTTTGCCTTTTGGGGACATCTGGCAATGCCTGGAGACTTTTTTGATTGTCACAGCGTGGGGGAGGGTGTTCTGGCATCTGGAAGCCAGAGATGCTGCTAAATATTCTATAATGCACAGGACAGCCCCACAAAGAAAATTTATCTCACCCAAAGCATCAACAGGGTTGCCACTGGGGAACCCTATCTTTAGGTGTCTGTGAACCTCTGAGAAGACGCTAAGGCAGTGGGTGAAATCTCAAGTAATCACAATTATCTGGAAAACCAGCATTACACAACATTGAAAGTGGCAAGCCTGGCTTTGTTGCCCCTTTGTGTGCCCCATGATCTCCTGTAATCTGATCTCAAGAGCTGAAAATCCAAAACCACCACCCTTCCCCCAGTCAGGGACAGATCACCCAATAAACAAGGTACACACAGGCTTACTTGTGCTTACTTTCTAATCTGTAGTACACAGTTTCACCTGTTTCTCACCACATCAAAGACGTGGTGAAACCCATGTGGAATCGGGCACTTCAGATTGGTAAATGAACACAAGCAAGCCGGCGCGTACCTTGCTTGCTGGTCCATCCGCCTCTGCCCCCTGTACACATGCAGGTATGTTTGCGGGCATCGTGGTGTGGAGTGCTCTGAAGAATTTTCACAGTTTGGCTCCGTTCCAATTTCAAAGCCCCCAAACAGTAAGTTTCTCTTTTTGCTTTCAACAAAGGTATTTTTTTCTGTAACGGCGATTTTCCTGCCCACGAGCACAGGTGGGTGCCAAGCCCAGAGGGCTCGTGGGTTAAATGACTAACATTTAATGAGCTCCTTTTAACAACAGCGGTACCAGCTGGGACACTGAGCTTTCCCTCTGCTCCTCTGAACTGGGTATGAACGGCTCATTTCTAACTTGTTGGAAAGGTCTCATTTGGGGCCTGTTTGCTTCCTATGCCACGCGTGTCCCCATATGCTGTTCATGTGGCCTGTGACACTTCCCGCCCGCCCCCCATGGGCCAGCTCCACAGTCCTGCCAGTCCCTAAGTCACTTGAGACGGTAAGTTCTAGAGGCGGACTATAGTGATGAGTTGGCCTTTCATCCTGTTAACCCTTCAGCTGCCACTTTTCCTGCCCACCATGAGCAACCTCAAAACGCCCAAGGGATTGACTTCTCCAAGCCACTTCTGCGTCCACATCTGCAGTGTCTCTGTGTGTCTAGAAAACTCTGCATGGATGAGGGCCTTAGAGTCGGGGTAGGCAGCATTGTCTAAAACCGTGTTTTAGTCACTTGAAAACGTCTGCCAGGCGCCCCGTGCCTCTCTGAACCCCCACCCCAGCTCGGCTGTGGGGTACTCAAGCAGCTTACTTGTGAGCCGGCTGGAAAGCTCGGCAGAGAGGGTTGTCATGCCACTGGCCCGTCCAGGCGAGATGGGTGTTGCTGGGTGCACGGAAGGAGAGGCGATCGATCCCAGGTACTGGTAGGACTGATCATAGGACCACGGTGGGGACGGCTGGATCTGCCTAGAGTCTGCAGAGAATCAGGGAGGGCAATTACATGTTGAGTGGGGCGGGACTTAAGAAAAGTAAGAAGCCTTTTAGTAAGAAACTAGTCACCTTTGTTTAAATATGTTACACATGTATGTGACTGATTTCTTGTTGTTGTTAGCGACTGTCAGGTTGGCCCCTAACTCATGACAACCCCACGCACAACGGAAGGAAATGCTGCCTGGTCCTGCGTCATCCCCACCATCAGCCTGGTGAGGATCTGACCGCTGTGATCCACAGGGTTTTCACTGGCTGATTTTTGGAAGTAAATCACCAATCCTTTCCTCCTAGCCTGTCTTAGTCTGGAAGCTCCACTGAAACCTGTTCAGCATCACGGCAACACACAAGCCTCCACTGACAGACGGGTGGTGGCTGCACGTGAGGGGCACTGGCTTGGAATCGAACCTGGGTCTCCTGCACGGAAGGCGAGAATTCTACCGTTGAACCACCCGTGTCTCCATGTGCGGCTTCTTTATCAGTGTTTAATAAACCCACTAAATCCCAGCCTCTACTTCTGTTGGATGAGTTCCCCCCAAAAACATACAGAAGTATACACTGATTCTTTGAGATTTTCATCTGATGACTGTTCCTTCTAAAGGTTTCACTTGATCCTGTTGTAAGTGATGAGAGGAGCTGATTATATTTTCAAGATAGAAATGTTCACGTTCAAACTATTTAACTACAGCACGTGACACCTTCAGGTGGTGACCGTGCAGACAGTTTCAGCTTTACCAATAATTACAGTGATCGTCATCGTAGAAGATTTGTTCGAGTGTTTATCAACTCAAGTGATCAACTGTCTCTCTGTAATCAGCAGGCAAAAGAGAATGCAGGGTTTCGGTATTTTGTGTACCTTTGGCAAAAATATTCAATGGTTTTTTTAAATGTCTTCTATTTAGGTGAATTCTCTCCCAAGGATGACAGGGGGTGAAAAAAAAAAGGTTTAGCTGGAACACCAACAATGAGATCTCGTGACTAGGTCACAGACCCAGCAGGAGAGAGCTGGTCTGTCAGCCCTGACTAACTCAGGCGTCCAGCTGCTTTCCAGACTTCAAGTTTGTACCTTTTTAAGGAGAGATTCTGAGTGAGCGCTGGGTGGTGCCAACAGCTGATGCGCTCGGCTGCTCATGAAAGGCTGGAGGTTCCAGTCCACCCAGAGGCACTTTGGAAGAAAGGCCTGGCTATCTGCTTTATAAAAGTCAGCCACTAAAACCGTCTGGTACACAGTTCTGCTCGGACACACATGGGGTTGTCATCCATTGACTCGATGGTAACTGGTTTTGTTTTACTCCTCTACCCTAAGGGGCCTGCTGTGATGGAGATATTTAGGCAACATGGGTTTTGTAAATCTGACCACAACACGCTTAGTTTTCAAAAGCATCACACTATTTATAGATGAAAAGCAGGGAAAAATTAACCTCTGTTTTTAGACAAAATGTGTACGGAAATTTAAACTGTCCCGTCACGAGGCAGCTTTACATGTCCTTCGGGCTAAACCTTCATTTTCTCTTTGTGCCCCACAAAGGGAACCATAAACTACTGTGACTCCCAGCGGTCTTCATAACGAGACTTGGCGCTGCTGGAGTAGCACCCCAGGACGAGCCAAGTTCCTCAGGAAACCCTGGATGTCGTTTGTGTATGTACCGTGACACATACTCCTGAATATAAACTGTCTCAGACCTGCTCTGTCCAGGGCGCTTCACCTTCAGCACTCCAAGTCTGCCTTTTCGGGTTATCTCTTTGAAGCCGCCAGAGTGGACAGCAGAATCAGGCATGTGAGGAACCGGGTCTTCCTCCCTCTGTTCTTCTGCCAGCTTATTCCCCTCCCCCACACTTGTCCATTTCTTCTTCTGTTTGCTTGAAAATAACCAAATTTTCAAGTCTGAAGAATCTAGTAGTTCCTGGGACAAATACTGTAGCCTGGAATCTCTGGAATCTAGTCTTGAAGAAGGGTCTTTGTTGGACTGTGAATGTTAGAGGATTTGAAGCGAAGGTGAAGAATGAGAGCTGGGCTGCCTCAGACTCGGTGGAGGACAAATGCCCACCTACAGATGAAGATCCTACTCAATCTCATTCGAACAGTATTTCCAGTAACAGAAAAGCAAACAGAAATAGCCAACTGCTTGGAGGGGACAGAGAAGCCGGTAACAGAGAACCCAAGGTTGAGAAGGGTGAGTGTTGACATGTCGTGGAGTTGTTAACCAGTGTCATAAAACAATATGTGTACTGTTTGATGAGAAACTACTTGTTCTGTAAACCTTCATCTAAAGTACAATAAAAAAAAAGAAAAGGAAAAAAACAGAAATAGCCGACTGCTCAACAGTCCAATATACTACCACAAGCGTTTAGCTCCAAATGAAAAGAAAAAAACCTCAGATATTGTCTATAGACATGCATATGTTCTATATTCACCCATTTCCTAAGTGAATATATTGTACTCAAATATTTTAGTTGTTTAAAAAGCAAACAAAAGAGGTTTTATAATTGTCGTAAAGCACTCCAGGGTGTGAACTGCGGTACAGTAATTCACGCCTTGTTGTGCAGACAGCCCAGCACCCCAAGCCCCCGTCTAAAACCACACGAAGCATGAAGTCTTATGCCATGATTCATGCCCTATCATGTTTTACTGTAGAGAAAAAGTGGTGCTAGGCTTTTCTAAACTCATAATTAAACCATGCAAACGCTGCATAATGTTTCACAGCCTTTTAAAAATGTGCTTTGGTAAAATGATCTTTATGACTAAAGTCCAAGTTCTATCATTTTTTTTTTTTTTTTTGCCACAGGGTTTTAGATTCAACATATTCTTACTTCACACCATAACTCAGCTTTGCAGGAGATGGTGGGGCATCTGGGTGTGGGGAGCACTGAAAACTTGAACCCTCGTGAGCAGTTGTCTTTCTTACGCTCAGAGTGAACCTCAGTTGAGTGGACTGCCAGTGGTGGGCCAGAAGGTGGTGATGGTGAGCTTCTCATGTCGGGTTTTTGGGTGTTTTCTTTTTCTACATGTAGTATTAGTAAGAAACCAGAGCCCAGACTAAAACCCAACAAAAATCTAAGGGCCAAAAATACACTATGATGAGTTGCCATCAAGTCGATTCCAAGTCATGGTGATCCCATGTGTGTCAGAGTAGAACTGCACTCCAGAGGGTTTCCAGTGTTGCGATTGCCAAGACTTTCCTCCAGGGCACCTCTGGGTGGCCTCGAACTCCCACCCTTTCACTTAGTAGTCGAGTGCCACCCAGGGCTTTCTGATGTTCTGGTATATGCTGGGTTTAATATTCAGTGACCGTCCTCGCCCTGATGAGGCTAACATGAGTGTGAAGGCACAGAGGTGAGTCTGAGATGTCCGTGTTGTGGCTGCCCTCAGTGCTGGGCTAAGAGCCAGGGGAGGTGGGCTCTGGGCCTGTGTGATGGTCCTGGATCGCTTGTTACTCTTCTTTCTTCTCCTCATCTCTGAAAGGAGATCATTTCTCAGCCCTCCCAAGGGTGACAGTACAGGATTCTTGTTCACATGGGCCCCTTACGGTGTTCCACTTCTTAGCTCGTATGTTAAGTAGAGTCAGGTGGAGGCGTGGGGTGAAGAATGGTGCTTGTAATAACAAGTATGTACATTCTGAGAAGAGGAAGCAGGGAGGGGTAAGATGGGAGTCCAAAACAGAAGGCACAGGCTGAGGAAGGGAACTGCTGTCGGTCACTCTGCAGCAAGTGGGACAATTTGTTGTTTTTGAAGGAGTTGCCTCTGAGAAGACAGTCCATCAAAAACAGGACAGAAGTTACTGAGAACTTGAAACTATGTGCCTGTACGTGTTGCCGTTGGGTCGATTCTGACCCATAGTGACCCTAGAGGACAGAGTAGAACTGCCCCCATAGGGTTTCCAAGGAGCGGCTGGTGGATTTGAACTGCTGACCTTTTGATTAGCAGTCATGTCACTTAACCACTGTGCCACCGGGACCAGGCATATGCTAGTTTAGCTGGTAACAGAGTGATGAATAAGACTAATCTGGTCCCTCACCCGTAGAGCTTTATTCTGATGTCAGTGGAGATCCCGGGACTGGATGATACTTGGAAAGGCTTCTTCCTGTTGAATTAACCATCGTGCTGAAAGCTGCTTTGTCCATTCATGTATTTATTCATGGGCTCATGAAGTTACTCACTTGCTCATTCATTCAGATTTCCAACAAACATTTTTGTGGTTAAGTGCTTGACTACTAGCTGGAAGGTTGGTGGTTCGAACCCATCCAGAGGTGCCTCCGAAGGTCACAGCCTTGATAACTTGTGGAGCACAGTTCTACTCTGTACCCTGGGGGTTATCATGAGTCAGAATTGACCCCACAGCAGCCAACAACAAGGGCCATTTTACTGAGGACTCACGAGGAAGCAAATCATAGTCCCTGCCTTCAGGGAGTTACAGCTGGTGTGGGCCTACAGCCTGTATCTGGGCTAACCACTGGACTTGCAGACACCTATTCCCAAGGTAGAGACAAGACCCTAGTATGTTCATTACATGCTTATGCTCGTCCTCTGAGAGGAGCAGAGCTGGGAAAGCGCCAGCATTAGGTCAAACAGATTTCAGTTTGAATCCTGCCTTCGTCAGTAATAAACCAGCTGAATGAGCTTGGACAAATTGCTCATTTTCTCTGAGCCGTAGTTTTCCGACTTCACAGGGTCACAGTGAGGAACAGGTGAGATACGCGACACGTAACGCAGTCATCACCATTTCTGGCACACAGTAAATGCTCGGTAAGTCTGAGCAGTCTTTGTATTACGGAAAAGGAAAGACATTCATGCCTTGGAACTTAGCTGACATTATTGGTCAGGCCGCAGCTACCCTCTCCATGGTGAGGCACAGGTGACACATTCCTGCTGCTGCTGAGGGGCTTGGCCAAGTCCAGCACTGAGTGGGGCTGGGCTCAGGGGACTGGATGGTAAAAGGACAAGGAAACTGGAAAGGGGTGGGGGTGGGGGGCGAGGAGTCGGTGTCT